TCATCATATTGATTCTGTTATTCTGAAACTATTATATGTTACAGGATAAACCAAATACATATAACTTTATTGTTAGAAACCAGGATTTTCAGCATAAGGAGAATAAAGATACAATTATGTAAACAGAAAAACAAAGAAGTAAAAACCCGTAATTCTAAATGGGAATTGATAACATAAGTATGAACTGATGATGTATTTCCTCCTCAAAAAAAGGGGGACTCTAGTTCTGTCCACAGAAAAGATTTAGAAACAATGACCAATCCAATAGCAATGACCATCCCCACAGTGCCCAGACTGTGGTATCTAAACACCATTTCTCACTAAGAAATCAGGGCTCCTTGAAAAAATGTCTAACTCCAAATCTGGGGCAGAAAATGTATGAACCTAGAACATCTCGTCATATCACAAAACAAGAACTATTAAGGACTAACATGGTTGTGTCAAAAGAATTTAGGAGCCAACTTCAAGAATTTAGGAGTCTCTTCAGAGACTCCCACTGGAATGTACGGGAAAATCTGAGCACCAAAGGAATATCTGCAATAAATTAAGACATCAAAAATCTTAATAATATGGAGAATAAAAATTTTACTGGTCACTGAACTAACTCATTAACTGAAAAAAATACTCAGGCATTTATCCTGCTTCTTCTATATGAACTATACCTCAGAGTAACGAATGGTAATAAGGGAAAATTCTTTTTTAAGAATTCCACCTCGTAAATGAAGAAAATAAAGATAAAATTCATTTTGCAACTACCAATGAAATGACCTAGGCAAAGACTATCAATAGCTATTAAAACAGTTGGTAATACTTGCACCTACTGATCAATGTTAATATCATTAAAGAGACAAATCGGACATTATGTGCCTCCTAAAGAGATGCAACAGCAAGTACACAATACCACTTAAAAAATATTCAATCCCGGGGAGCCTGGGTGGCTTGGTCAGTTAAGTGTCTGACTTCAGCTCAGGTCATGATCTCAGGGTCCTGGGATACAGCCCCACTCAGGGGGCAGTCGGCTTGTCTCTCTCCTCCCTCTGCCCCTCCCCCCCACTCATGCTCTCTCTCTCTCAAAAATAAATAAATCTTTAAAAAAAAAAATGTTCAATCCCCCATCTCCAAAAACAATCAGACTTAAATCTGATCAAGCTTCTTGATTTAACTACCAGTTTTATGGAAATATATGGAACAGAACTTGTAAAACCACACCATGGGGATAAAAATCAGTAAAAACTAGACTATGGGAAAATCTCATGAAAAATGATGGATTTCTTCAACAAATAAATTGTAAAGGAAAAAAAAAAGAAAAGGAAGAGAGACTTCTTAAGTTAAAAAAGACATAACCATATCAATCAATGTGTGGACTTTGGATCCCACTTTAAAAAAATGTTTTTTAATGCATGATCAAGGAACCTTTGATAGGAACTGAATTATTTTATTACATCAAGAAATTATCATGAAAAATTCTAGGTGATAGTGGCATTGTGAGTTGTGATCTTCTTTTTAGGGATACGTACTGAAGTATTTATAGCTGAAATTATATAATATCTGGGATCTGCTTCCAAACATTCCAGGTCAAAGGTGTGTGGAAGGAAATAGTAGGTATAGATAAAACAAGACTGACCATCCCTGAAGCTGGGCAATGGGCTCATGGGGGTTCATTTTACTGGTCTCTCTACTTACACATGATTGGAATTTTCCATAATAAAAAATGCTTTAAATCATCCTTCAAACTTTTATTTTTTAAAGATTTTATTCATTTATTTGAGAGAGAGAAGCGCAAGCAAGAGAGCACAAGCAGGGGGAGAAGCAGAGGGAGGAGAAGTAGACTCTCCCCTGAGCAGGGAGCCTGATATGGGGCTCAATCCCAGGACCCCGAGATCACAACCTGAGCCGAAGGCAGCCGTTTAACTGACTGAGCCACCCAGGTGCCCCTACATCATCTTTTAAACTTTCAGATGACAAACTCAGAGTAACCATTCTAATCGGTAGAATTTTAAGAATTCCCATACTCGACATATTAAGGGGTTCCTTTTCCTTCCCACAGCATGAGCCAACCATACACCCCTCCCCCGTTACCTTTGGAACCATCTCTATACTTATAAACATGGAATCACCTACCAAGTTACTGCCATTAAGACTCTTCCCCTCTAACACCAGCTGCCCCTACAAGAACAACCAGAGACAGATACATGAACTCTGAAACAGCCTATCTCTAGTCCCAACAAAGCCCACAATGAATGCCCTTCTCCCCCAGTTAGCCACATAGAAGCTGCTACAGGAGCCCTACAGTCAGAATGACAATTCTGGTCTGCATATTACCGCTTCCACTAACATTTATCTTTTTTAAAAGGAATTGCCTTAATTTTTTTTAGCATTAATATAATAGCTAAATTAAATGTCTCAAAGACTCAACAGAATCATATAGTTTCCCTGAGTTTCTGAATTCATGAGTTTATTATTATAGCTCTCATGCTCTATTGAATTCCAGTGAATTTCCAAGAAATCTCTGAGATATCTTGTTCAGTGCCCCTATAACTACTTGAAGCTCAAAAAGATACAGGATACTAAGAAGCAAAGGAGAAAATAGGGAAGCCCTAAATTCCCAAGTTTCAGAGAATACCTAGAAAAAAATAGTGTGAAAAACAGAAGAATGGAATATTCATTTTGCCTAAAGATATTTCATTAGTAGTGGGGCGCCTGGGTGGCTCAGTCCGTTAAGCATCTGCTTTCAGCTCAGGTCACTGCATTGGGCTCCCTGCTCAGCGAGGAGTCTGCTTCTCCCTCTGACCCTACCTCTGCTTGTGCTCTCTCTCTCTCTCTCAAATAAAGAAAATCTTAAAAAAAAAAAAAAGGTATTTCATTAGTAGCCAAGAGAAATACCCCTTTTATCTCAAGTAATAACATCTTCCTTTGGAAGAACAGTAATCTTTTTTTTTTTTAAAGATTTTATTTTATTTATTTGAGAGAGAGAGAGCACAAGAGCGGGTAGGGTCAGAGGGAGAAGCAGACTCCCCACTGAGCAGGGAGCCCGATGCGGGACTTGATCCTGGTACTCCGGGATCATGACCTGAGCCCGAAGGCAGCTGCTTAACCAACTGAGCCACCCAGGCACCCAGAACAGTAATCTTTCTAAGAGTTCAATAAACTTCAACAAACTGTGTGATGAGTACTGAAAGGGAAAAACAGTTATCACTGGATGATAGTTTTGATACAGGGTTCACTCAGGTAAGGAGAGAGGTGGCCTTTCCTTCTCTCACCTTCAAATTTTAAAATGGTGAATTTGGATCATGTTTGCAATCAACATTTTCAACAGACTTTCTGTATAAAAATTATTTCTATTTTTACTAATACTGTATTATAGTTTACTGCTGTGCAAATAGAAAAGTTAGAATTTTTTAATTAAAGTAACAAATAAAAGCAAATTTCAAGCCCCCTATTTTCCTGTCCTTGATTGAGACATTAAATAGGTATTAGAGCCAGAAAATAATGACAGATGCTTTCACATCCCAGCATCAGGGCTGTAGAGTAAAGGAATACTGACGGCGTCGCATCTACGTAGCCTCTTCCTTGCCTACACAGTTACACAGAACACACTAAACATTACGAAAACAATGGTGAAAAATACTTGTGTTTTCCTATTCTAGTGCTTGTGTTCACTCCTAGTTCATAAACTAGGATACTTTCAAGTCCCACTCTATATTTAGCTATGTACTGTTCAAGTACAATTCAATGAAAACTAATACTAAGTCGTGTTCTATTGTCTCTATGCTCCCTCTGATAGACTACAACCATGAGTATGATTTCTGTACAGCACATACTTCTCTCCCATCCTCATCTTAAGGCTCACCAACACTAAGAAGATTTCTGACAGTGTGCTATCTGCCTTCACAGGGAGGAACATGAGCATATGGAAGAGAGCTAAGCTTATTTAGGCTAACATGGAACTGAGATTTCCACATTTCCTTTCCTCTGGAATTACTAAGCAGTGATTGTTCTTCAGTTCAGCCTTAGTTCCTCTTAATATCTCCCATCATCCACCAATACAGAAAAACTTAGGGAGACTGAAGAAAAGGTGAATGACATGTCCTTGAAATCATCCTCTTCCTCCTGCTTCTTATCATTGGGTAACTTACTCTGAAGAGGTTGTATACTTAATGTTTCCCCTAAGAACCGTGGGTAAAATATGGCTGACTCGAACGACACAGCTTTGAACTGCATGGGTCCATTCATACACAGATTTATTCAATAAATACAGTACAGTATGAGAAATGTATTTTCTCTTCCTTACGATTTTAGTAACATTTTCTTTTCTCTAGCTTACTTGATTATAAGAATACGGTATAGGATGGATACAACATACAAAATATATCAATTGTTACTGGTAATGCTTCCGGTCAAAGTAGGCTATTAGTAGTTGAGTTCTGGGGGAGTCAAAAGTCATATGTGGATTTTCAACTGTGCCAGGGGTCAGTGCCCCTAACCCCTATGTTGCTCAAAAGTCAATTGTAATTTCAAGTTCCTCATTTAAGAATTTCATTAGGGGGGCCTGGCTGGCTCAGTCAGTAGAGTATGTGACTCTTGCGACTCTTGATCTTAGGGCTGTAAGTTCAAGCACCATGTTTGGTGTAGATTACTTAAAAATTTTTAATAAATAAATAAATAAATAAACAAACAAACATTTCATTATATTCAAGATATTTGCATATGCCTTTGAAATCTGTTAAAAGGGATAACGTACATTTTGTAAATATTAATTGCCTACTAGGTGATTAGGTACTATGCATTTGGAAAAGAAAAATCTTGGAGTAAGCCTGTTAATATGGGAAAACTAAGTAACCCACTATCTTGACATTCTCGGACTGGGGGAAGGGGAGTGGTAATTTCTGATATAAAAAGCAGGGATCTTCATACCCAAAGCCGAAAAATACACCCAGATGGTTTTCTTCAAAATCCCCATCTACCACAGGTACAGAATTACATGGCGGATCACCACTCACCTTGTGCTACTGTTGACATGACCACGGATGGTGTGGAAGATACGACAGCTGTCACTGCAACTGTACTGGGAATAGGTGACGGTGTAGAACTGCTGCTGCCACTGCTGCTACTACTGACCAGGGAGGACTGTGAAGCAGTTATAACCACTGGTGGCTTCTGGGTTGTGGAAGCAATGACTGATGTTGGTACAAGCTTAGTGACTGCTGCATAGTTATGGGATTTGGAGAGAATGTTGGGCACGAAGGTTGAACTTGGTGATGTGGTCACTATAATAACCTAAGGGAGGAAAAGTAAGTTATTTTCATGAACCCACTATACTACTAATGTATTTAGACTCAGTTATATATAATCCAAAAATAGCTTAGGAAATATGAAGAAACAATCCATCAAAGAGAAATACACAACTAAAAATATGCGTAAGCTTTCCTTTACTAGTAATCATCAAAATGTGTTTAAAAGAAACAACTTTTACCAACCAAATATTTTTAAAAACAATGTTCAATGCTGTATAAGATACAGTGAAATAAGCATTTCAATATACTGCTTAGGGAGTATAATGGGCACAATCTTTCTAGAAAGTAATTTGGATAATCATTCATTTATAAATATTTGTTGAGCATCTACTATGTGCCAGGCATGGTTCTAGATGCTGGGGACAGAGGAATGAACAAAGCAGACAAAGTTCACACTTGCAGGGAGCTAAATTCTAATAGGTGGGGAGGGAAACAATAAACAAATTAGAAAAGTAAATATATGTCATATAGAGATAAATGGAAGAGACAACAAAGCAGGGTAGGAAATAAAGAATATTGGGAGTACTGTGTTATTTTTTTATATAGTATTCAATGAAAATCTTTCTGATAAGGTAACATTTGAGCAGAAACTAGAAGCAGGAGTATGAACCATATTGCCACCTTGAGGAAGTGCATCCAATGGCACAGAAAGCAGCAAATAAAAAGGCCCTCAGGCAGAAGCAAGCTTGGTATCTTCAATAAACTTCAAGGACCTAATAAATGGGATTGGAATTTTGGAAATAGTAGTAGGAGACAGAATCGGGGAAGTAATGGGGGACTAGATGATGTAAGATCATGTTGATGCTATATACCCTTGATATGATATGATGAAAATGTCACTTTATCAATGTGGTCTTCCTTCTAAAAACCCCAAACCTAGTTTAATCAGGAGAAAAACATCAGACAAATTCCAATAGTGGAGCAGCCTACAAAATATCTGACCAGTATTCTTTAAAACTGCCAAACACAAGAGAAGTCTTGAGAAACTTTCACAGCCAAGAGGAACCTAAGAAGACATGACAAGTAAATGTAATGTGGTATCACGGAACAGAGAAAGACAATGGGTAAAGAAATCTGAATAAACCACGGACTTTAGTTAATCTTAACGCATCAATACTAGTTCATTAATTATAGCAAAGTACGATAGTAATATAAAATGTTAAGAACAGTGGAAACTGAGTGTAGGGTATGTGAGAACTTTCTGTACTATCTTCTCAATTTTTCTGTAAATCTAAAACTATTCTAAAAAATACTTTTAAAAAGCATCACTCTGTCTGCTAGATGAAAAGTGTACAGTAGGGCAGAGGTAGTAAAAACAGGGAGACAAATCAGGATGCTCCTGGAGTAAAGCAAGCAGAGATAATTGTGTTCAAAGTGTTTATAGCATGAGTGGTGAAAAGTAAACAGATTCTGAATATACTTAAAGGTAAAACCAACAGGACTTGCTCATAGCTTGATACAGGGAATGGAGGGGAAAAAAGCAGCAGGAAAGAGACTTCAAAGGCAGCCCATATGGCTAGAAAAGTATAGAAGATATAGGGAGGCAAAGAATTTCAGATGAGAAAGAACAGGACAGAGCAAAGGATCTACAGTTGAAATCAGCCTGATGTATTTAAAAACAGAAAGCAAGCTGGTGTAGCAAAAAGCATACAGAGCAAGGAGGGGCTGACAAAGTAAGGAGAGGCCAGATCATATTTATAAGCCACAGTAAAGGATTTAAATTTTATACTAAGTACAATAGGAAGCCATAGGAAGGTTTTAAGTGGGGAAACAACAAAATGTGATTTATATTTTAAAAGATCATTCTAGCTGCTATGTGGTGAGTGGCAAGAATGGGAGCAGTGAGACTAGTAAAGAAACTATTGCAGTAGAGCAGGCAAGAAATGATAGAGGCTGCTTGGACTGGAGTGTTAGTAGTGGAAATAAAGAGAAGTGATCACATGCAGATTCTATTAAGAGGTAGAGTCAATAGGACTTGTTGATGTAGGGAAATGGTAGGCCTAAGGAAAATAACATAATCAAGATGAATTCCTAGAGCTAATGTGCACTGGATAAATTTAGATCTCCCCAAAATTCTCTGACATAGACACAATTATTATCCCCATTTTACAGCTGAGAACACAAAAATCATTTACAAACCTATAATATCACAGTTTTATTCCAGGTGGGTATAATGGTGGTATGGTGATACCCAAAACAGAGCAGAATTTCTTTTTCTTCTTTCACCAAAATTACCTCTACCTATCTAGGGCAGAAAATTGTTTTGAAAAATCCAAAGAAATTAAGGGAGAAATTCTCTTTCATTTTCACATTAGTCCTAAAGAAGGCCTGATGTTAAATCGGTTGGTCAAATTTTACTGAGTATGTCCGCACTCAGTACCAACATCTCAAGGATGACTATATCATCATTATTTTGACTATATCATCATTATTATATATTTGCAGTGTCATGGTGAATTATAAGATGTAACTACATATCCACTACTTTAAGCAGTTTGTTAATTATTTGACGAGTCAAGAGAGATATCTAAGTCTTGACCAGCAAACATCTATATAAAGTTGACCAGCATATTTCTAGATAGACTCGATCAGCAAATACCTATATAGTGTTCTTACAAAAACAATCATAAGCCATCATATAAACTGAGAAGCAGTAGACCAATATGGTAAAAAGACCAGAAGTTTAAGAGTCGAACCTGAGCTTAATTTTGCTTGGGCCACTGACAAATGTCAGGCCCCTGGACAGGTTAAAATCTCTGGACTCCAATTTTCATCTATAAAATAGGGATAATAATACCTACCTTCCAAATCACTACAAGGATTGAATGAGATAATGATGTGAAGCATCTAACATAGTGCTAGGCACATAGCAGGTGGTCAATATTTGGCAGTCAACAAACAGTAGTTATTAGATTACTATTACTATTCGGTAAAGGTGTTATAGATCAATTCAATCTGGAAATATATTTTATGTATTCTTTTTTTGTTTCATTAAAAAATGTTATATATCTTTTATAATGTTATATATCTTTTTCCCAAATTCTGATACCCCTGAGAATCCAAAGAACTCATAGCTACTACCACAGTCAAACCAAGTATAGTGATAATGGCAATTAGGTTTCACATTTGCCAATTCTGAACTCATAGTAGTAGCTTCCTGGAGCAGCATTTATAAGGACTCTGTGACACAGATAAGGATTCACCAAGGCTTGGCAGGAAAGTATGCCACAGTCAATTAACAATGTCTGTCATGGGCAAGGGAAGGGGAAGCATTCACACTTGTGTCAATTATTTCCAATATTAAAACTAGAGTATCTATGTAGGCTTCTCACATTAAGACAAAATTTCAGCACAATAAATATAGAAGTCTTTAAGAGCATGTTTTAGGCTACAGATACAAATGATAAAATATATTTTAAGATTTCAGTCTGCACGTTGATTTCTGATCTGAAAAGGGGTTATCCAAAATTAGAGATCCACCTTAAAGAAAATTTACTTGTACTTTAAAGTTACGAATTACAACAGGGGAAATAAAGGTATTTTGAAACCAAGTGAACCAAACAGTGTTTATTCAGGCCATAATTCAAATTACTGACCTTCTAGCACTCACAAAAACTCCTTAAGAGTGCTGGGACTTGCACCCTAAGGATAAAATGAAAAATATCAATCAAGCACGTGAAAGCATAAAGCTGTATTTTGTTGCTTTGTTCATATAAGTGCTGTACCAATGTTATACTTAAAATGAAGGCACCACATTAACATAGGTGGAAATTTGTCTACCCTGAAAATATATGACCTATTTGAATTTGAATCAAGTCCACAAATTCATAAATAATTATACTTAATGTAAAAGTCATTTACCTAAAATAATTCCTAAGTTGACTTACATAGGATTTGTGAGAAATCCAAGGTGAATGCAATAATGAAAACAGCCTTACAGAGATTTCAAAGAAGTCCAATAACCCAGCAGAAGTAAAACAAAAAACAAAAATCCCAAAGAAGATCTATTAGTGCTACCATACTCAGCTTGTCCAAGAAGTAACAAAACCAATGGCATTGGGTACACATGAAATAAAGGAGTAGTATACTTTTGCCTCTGGAACATAGTAGATACTCAGTAAATATTTGTGGAATGAATGAGTCTTATTTCTAATTTAATATGTTTTAAATGTTTATTTTTTCTGTACAGTAGGACAAATCTAAGGTTCTGAGCTTGGAATCTCCTGGTGTGGTTCATATGACCTTGGAGATAAATATGCCCTCTTATAAGCATCATATGTCTGACAACCTCGAGTATCCATTCTCAATTGGCAATTCCGAAGAAAAAACAAAAATAAAGATATGATAAAGTCATTGAATCAAAACAAAACAAAAAACGCCAACTTCACTTACAGGTGAACCTTCCATCTTTTATAGGTATTTGTATATATGTCTACCAAAGAAGATTCTAAAGTTAATAATGTTAGGTGACATTTACTAAGCATTCATCATATGCACTATGTTAAGTACTCTCCATGAATCATCTCATGTAATTATCCTGATAACTCTGGGAAGTACTATGATCTTTGTTTTATAAGGAAACTGAGGCTCAAGAGAGGTGACAGAGTCAGAACAGGGATCAGATCTATTTATTAATTTTTTCATTCATTCATTCAACAAACATTAATTAACACCTTCTATGTGTCATGAACTATTCTAAATACTAGGCAATACAGTGATGAATGAGATGAAGTCTTTACCCTCAGCAACATATATACTCTATGGGAGAAATAGGAAATGAATAAATATATAATACGATGTTAACCAGTTATAAGTATAATGAGTAAAAATAAAACGAGTAAGGGAAGAGAAAGACATGGATGGGAGATGGGTGCTCTTTTAGTTTGACTTTGCTACACTATTTCTCAAATACCAAATTAAAAGAGTAGATGAGAAGGGGGAAAACAGAATTACAGATAAGTAAGTCCCAGCAAAAAAAAAAAGGCAGTAAAAAATTACAGTAAGTAGACTTATAAACTCATAGAGTATAGCAGGCTGATAACACTTAATACAGGGCTAGTCTAGAAAGCAATAACTATATTATAATATTATGTGACAAGTGATATTCAGAAGGGTTACCTTGGAGTCATCAAGTACAGATGCAAAAATCATATTCACTGTAACATTTAAAAAGTCATCAAAAATAGTTAATTTCTATATATTAAGGGGTAAGCTTCAGTTAACTGATGAATTCATTTTGGAGGAGCTCATTCTCAACAGTGCAAATAAATAAAACACTGTCTTAGATAAAATACCAGCAAGGAAAGGGAGCTAACATTTTCTTGAGCATATACCTATTGCTGTACTTTAAAATACCCAGTCTTGGGGCGCCTGGGGGGCTCAGTCGTTAAGCGTCTGCCTTTGGCTCAGGTCATGATCCCGGGGTCCTGGGATCCAGCCCTGCATCGGGCTCCCTGCTCAGTGGGAAGCCTGCTTCTCCCTCTCCCACTCCCCCTGCTTGTGTTCCCTCTCTTGCTGTCTCTGTCAAATAAATAAATAAATCTTTAAAAAAATAAATAAAATAAAATAAAATACCCAGTCTCATTTAATCCTCACAGTAACTTTTTAAGATTCGCATTATTCTCATCTCACTGATGGGAAAACAGATTTAGAGAGACTAATTTATCTCAGGTCATAGTGGAAGAGCCAGGGTTCCAACCCAGGCCTCTTTGACTACAAAAATTCTTGCTTGATTTTAACACGATACCATAATGCTTCATCCTAAAACTGAAAATAGAATTATATTCCACAGATCAGCTCATTATCACTTACGGTTTACTAAGAAAATAATTTCTCATGTATCATGTAATGACATCTTTCCAGGAAACTCAGGGAGCTTCTTTAAATGAACGTTACTGTGTATCTGAGGTTCAAAGGTGGGAAAGATCACCGGCTAAAGATAAGAAGGTACCTCCAATCCTTCCCCCAAATCCCTCTAAAATGGTATGAAGGGATTTTTTTTAAAGGGGAAGAGGCATGTGAACCCCTAAGGTCAAAATGAAAAGAAGGTAACAGCTGTAAAGTTTTGTAAAACAGAGAAGCAGTAATCAATCAAGCATAACCTCGAAAGTGGAAACCAGAGAACCCCAGAAAGACTCATGAATTGAGAGCTTGAGATATGTCTTAAGTGGGAGTAAAGGTGGCACTAGAGAGAGGAAAATTAGTTGAAAATCTATTTAAGCAGCATTTATATCTACAGCTATCCTCCCCCACCCTAAAGGAAGACTAGGCATTTATTCTCTTGAGGGAGAGGCTGAGTCCAAGGGAATTTGCTAACACTGGGTGGAGGGAGCTGAGTGCTGTGCTACAGAGGGGTTAAGTGAAGTATATACTGAAGACTATCCAGCCCGTTCCCTCCATTTACTCCCCAAATACTGGCAGACTAGCTAACTACTCTAAGCAGGAGACTGGAAAATTCTTCTCTGAGGAAATCTGACAAGTCCATGATAAAGCCCTAATGAGAGTGATAACTGATAGAGGTAAAGGGGTAGTGGGTTTTTCTCAAGAAAACAGCCCAGCTAGGTCAACCTACAATGAAAGTCACCAGCCAACATGCCCCACTCTACACAGACAGCTTTCTGTCAGCTTTTAGGGCCCATATTCATATATAAGCAGACAGACAGACAGGATTCAAGAAAACTCTAAAATGAAACAGATCAAAACAAATAGATAAAAGGAACTTACAGGTAGGAGAGAAAACATGAAAGAATAAAACATCAAAAAAAGTCATGGATATCATCAGAATATAGTGATTTTATGAAAGAACAGGATGCTGTTTTTTTTTTTTTTAAAAAGGAACTTTCAGAGATCAAGAAAGAATTACCAGAAATTTAAAGTATGATAGCAAAAATGACAAATCCAGAAAAGTAGTGAAGGATAACATGAAAGGATAGACAAAATAATACAGAGCATTTACTATGTGCTAGGCTCTATTCTAACAGTTTTATATTTATTATCTCATTTATTTATACCCCAAAACCTTATGGATTGTTTTCCATTTTTCATATGAGAAAACTTAATTCCAGGATTTAGTTTCCCCACAGTCACAAAACTAATAAGTGGCAAAAACTGAGATTCAAATTCAGAAGTCTAGTTCCAAAAACCCAGGCTTTTAACCACTGTATTACAGTAGAAAGAAAATGCAAACAAACGGAAAATGGGAGTGAGAAAAGACAGGCAAAAGGATCAATCCAGGCAGTTCAGCATCCTAAATAGTTGATCCAAAAAGAAAGAACAGAGAAACATCTAGGAAATAATTCAAGAAATTTCCTAGAACTGAAGGACATGAGTGTCCAGAGTGAAAGTGACCACTGAGTGTGCACCAATGGATAAAATAAAGACCCACACCAAGAAAAATTACCTTGAAATTTCAGAACTCTGAAAGTTACCAAGAGTTTTCAAAGAGAAAAGGAGGAAATTAAAATGTCATTGGGCTTCTCAAAAGCAATACTGAAGGCAACAGCCAATGGAGCAATATCTTCAAAATTCTCAGGGAAAATTACATCCAACCTAAAAAATACTTTACCTAAACCATCAAGAAAGTGGGAGAATAAAGACATTTTCAGTCCACTACACAAGGTATCAAAAAATTTACCTTCCATCCACACCTACACCAAGAAGCTACCAGAGGATGTTCCAGCAAATGAGTAAATAAATGAAAGAGGAATACCAGCATGCTAGTGAAGGGAGACCCCAGAAATACAGGTGTGCAACGAGCCTAGGGTGCCATCAACATCCATATTAGTGTGGAAAGTTAGAGGGTTCTAATAATATACAACTGTCAGAATACTGATGATTTGAACATACTGAGAAAAGTTTAGGAAAGAACTAATGGTAGCATACAAAGAATAAAAAAAGAAGGCAACAGTAATTATTCACTTAATCATATCCTTCCTGTCTTCTATAAAACACCCACTTCTGACAACTTTGTTACTCTGACAAAGTAAAAACTGAGTTTTTTTAGGAACTTTTTTTACTTTTTTTTTTACCTTTTTTTTTTTTTTACCTACTTTTTTACCTTTAGGAAAAGGTAAAGTTATCCATATACAGGTTAAAAAAAATTTTATATTTTAGTTTTTTCCCAAATGGCATTACAATAATAAAATAGAACAAAAGTCTTAGAAGTATGAGATCTGGCTACGTGACATTAGGCAAGTCATTTGGCATCTCTGGCCTCATCTACAAAAAGTGAATTAATAATACCTATCCCAAAGCTTTCTGTGCAGAATTAAAGTAAGAGACCTGATCATTCCCAGCATAATGCCAAGCACATAGTAAACACTCAGTGCATGTTTGTTAAATCTGAATCATACTGACTGAAAGAGATGGAAACGGCAATTGGCAGACAGAGACTCCCTCCTTCACATACCTTCTGTGTTGTTGTGTTTGTCGTCTGTGTTGATGGTTTGGTGAAGGTTATTTTCACAGGAGACATGTGGGGTGGTAAGGAGTTGGCAATGCTCTGCATGATGTTGCTCATCTTGGGACTGCCACTCACAGGCACAGTGATCGTCTTTGAGACCGGAACAACAGCCTTTGGAACTTCCTTTAGGACAACGGGGGAGGAGCTAGAAGAATTTGTTCGCCTTCGTTTTCTGGGTTTTTCATCTTCATCTGAACAGCTAACACCTGAAAGGCAATGACAGTTCTGTTGTATTTATCACAATCTAACCCTGCATTTTATACTTCATTTTAAATCTTTGTGTCATCAGCCATCCTTGACCTCTCCCTTTGCCTCATGCCCAAACAGTAAGTCCTATCAATCCTCCCTCAGAAGTTTTCTCTGAATGCCTTTCCTCCTTTCTTTAACCCTGTGGCTATGTCAGGCCTTCTTATCTCCTGCCTGTACTTTAGCAACCTCCTAAAAGATGTCCATGCTTCCTTCTACCCTCCATCCTACTGCCAGTTACAGAATCTCATATCTAATTATGTCAATACCTTGCCTTAAATCCTTAAGTAGTTTTTATCTCCCTACAAGATGAGGCACTTAAATCATTACTACATCATTCAAGGTTTTACAGCTTTCCAAGAACACAATACAGCTGACTTTCAAACACAAGTTTGAACTGTGCAGGTCCACTAATACGTGTATTTTTTCCGATAAATACAGTATATTACTATAAATGTTTCTCTTTCCTCTTATGATTTTCTTTGTAACATTTTCTTTTTTCTAGCTTACTTTATTGTATGAATACAGCATATAATACATATACAAAATATGTGTTAGTCAACTGCTTACGTTATCAGGAAGACTTCTGGTCCACTATAGACTATTAGTAGTTAAGTTTTTGGGGAGTCAAGTTATATGCAGATTTTCGACTGCACAGGGAGTCAGCATCCCTATGCCCCACATTGCTCAAGGGTCAGTTATACCCTACTCTACCCAACCCTGTGCACCCTTATAATCCCAGTACACTGAACTGCTCACGATTCCCCAAAGTCACCTTAACATATTCTATACAACCAGTCTCCAAACACTATTGTTCTTTGGGGAATACTGCCTACCAACAACGAACTCTTCATCAGCCTGCAAACCATCTCCTCAGTGACTCTCCTTTTACTCCTCTAAGCAAAACTAATCCACATCTCTGAGCTTAAGCACTTTGTATATTCTCTTCTGTATCACTTACCCCATGGCAATGCAGCTGCCGGTCTGCACATCTCCCATTATTAACGGCCTCCCAGAGGGCAATGACTAAGACTTATTGGTTTGTTTCCCCAGTACAGTGCCTTGCACATATGAAGCTAGACTGATGAATGATTATATCCCAAACTAATGTTGCCTGTGTGACTTCTGAGAAAAAAGCAATAAACTTCCTATTATTTTAAACTACATTTTATGTTTAAAGGTTCCTCGGGTTTGGGATTCACTTTCAATGTTTTAAAAAAATATCAAAAAAGATAAATAAATAAATCACAGGGCGCCTGACAGGCTCAGACGGAAGAACATACGACTCTCAATCTTAGGGTCGTGAGTTCAAGCCCCATGTTGGGTGTTGAGATTACTAAAAGAAAAAAAAACTTAAAAAAAAGAATTAAAAAAAATAGATCTCTTGGGGCACCTGAGTGGCTCAGTCAGTTAAGCGGCTGCCTTCGGCTCAGGTCATGATCCCAGCGTCCTGGGATCGAGCCCCATGTCGGGCTCCCTGCTCGGTGGAAGGCCTGCTTCTCCTCCTCCCACTCCCCCTGCTTGTGTTCCCTCTCTTGCTGTGTCTCTCTCTCTGTCAAATAAATAGATAAAAATAAAATAAAATAAAATAAAAAAATAGATCTCTTACAGTCACCTTGGCTAAATCTACAGAAATCACTTGATCTTAACCAAAAGGCCGAGAAGCGATTAAATCTACAGAAATCAGATATAAACTTAATAGTTCCAGATTCTTAGCTTTTTCTTTATGCCTCAACTATTTTTGTAGACTTTTTTTTTAAATCAAGTGAGAAACATAAATCCTTGCAACATTCATAGGAAATCTCTACAGAGCAGACAAAAAAAAAGTATACAGCATAACTCATAGAATTGTTAATAAAATATATCTCCTTATACCACCTTCAGTTTTTAGACTTTAATTTAAATAAGGCCGACAATGACTTAAAATCATTCCTAAAACAGCAAACTCTACCTCTAAAAGTTACAAAGAAATCAAGTTTATAACTATATTGAGAAAAATGAAAATCAAGTATTAATAATCTCCAGCTGATAACAAAAGCAAAACAATATTGACATAACAGACACTAAAACCAAAAAATGACCTAGACATTAAACTGTTTCACAGGATAGAATCAAGGGGCTAAAAACTGCAAATAAACTTCAAAGGCTTGTAGTTAACTAGAAATATAAAAGATGGACTTTCTAGAATGTATCACTGAAAATAACAGTTGGATGATATGCTATATAAATAATTTTTTAAAAAACATTATAAAGATTACACTTATAGGAGTAAACACTGAATAAATCACATAAGCACATTTCTTCAGTTTCCATTCACATTTCTAGTCCATGACAATCAAAACAAGTGAATACTTGGAAGATAGCACTGTTCAAGGCAGATTTCCCACAGAGAACAAAAAAGAAGTAATTTCTCAACCCCCAGAACTGATTAAAAAGCAATATATACCTAGTCACGTGTAAAGAAAAGAATTTACAACCTTCAAAAACTAACCACTGCTAATAGCCAGTGGACCGATGATTTAATCCAGGAAGGCAGATCTAATCAGAGCCTATGTTGCAGCATTTAGCCAAGATGGCCCTGATAACACTGATAATATCACTTACTTTTGACATAAACAGTACTTCCACTTGGCAAGACAACTACATTGGAGGCAGGACTGGCAGGTCTTGGAGACTTAACCGTTGCTATGCTGCCACTTGGAACAGGGGTAGAGGTTGGGGTTGACGTGGTACTTGTGTAGGAATAGCAAACCACTACTGAAGGAACGATAAAAAAGTTTGCTGTTAACTTTCACCAAAACTGTCCACGCATATACATAAAAATAATTTTTTTACTGCAGGCCAATTTTAACATTTTCATGTGATCAGAAGTTAGAGGCCATTACTAGGTCCATTAAGTTAAAAGGTATTAATAACCCTTCCTGAAAATCATCACTTCACTGGGTTTTCCTCAAGTATTTAACAGCTGGTCTACCGGTGACATTGCCAATGGAGAAGAGCACAATTACAAAGAAATCAAGTTTAAAACTATACGAAGAAAAATGAAAATAATTTTTCATTCATGGCAGGAGTTAGACAAAAGGCACATACTTGTATTCCCTTTTAATACTGATGCAGTATTGATGAAGCACCAATGATGGAGTGATGCATAATTTTTCCCTAACCATAGCAATTTCCAACTTGGCTACTGGGAGGGGGGGGAACCACAGCAAGGTTACTTTATTATAAAACAACTTAATTAGTCACTCGCCATCCAAGCAGTGCAACAATAACTCAGCTAAAGTAATGACAACATTATATGTCAACTTCTTGAATAACAACAAGAAGCAAGAATAGTTCATAATGCACCATTTACTGAGTACCATGCACTATGCTAAATCTTTCCATATATTAGCACTAACTCTCACAGCACCACATCCTCCTTTTAAAGATGAGGAACCTAGGGTTCACAGAAGCTAAGAGCTGCTGGAGGTCACATAGCTAGGAAATGGCTAACTAGGACTCAAACACAGATTTGACTGTTGGAAATCCTATATTCTTTTCCCTCTACCAGACAGTTGGTGGACAGAAAAGGTAAGAGTGGGAAGAGAAGAAAGATACCTCTCCTACAACAAAGGAAACAGGAACTGAGTGGAGGCCAAATTTGTACCTTGGTACCTGTCTCTCTCTAAATATAGCTTCCTTCAGCCTAAAACAGAGCTGGCATGCATGAAGAGTGTCTCATTCTGCTCCACGACCCACCGATAATCAAGAAATGACAATTCCCCAAAGTAATCTGACAACTTCATAATTTTCAGGGTTGTTTTCAAGCAACACCAAACTAAGCTACTAGAATCAATCCAAACATGCACTCTCAAATTTAATATTACTCTTGGCAACCTCAAGAGAATTCAAGTATTTTTAAAGCACGTGTCAATTACTAGATTAAATAACAATAAAAAAGCCTTCTCTTCTGCCAGGTAATCCCTAATGGATTCAGAACGCTGACTAGAACAGAGAAGCACCGTATACCATAGATTCCAGAAGATAAAACAGAGTTTTATTGTCTAAATAATCAGTTAGGCATCTTTCTCCAGCAGGTAAATGACTTCCATCATTTATTTTCCATGTCACCCATTAAGGCCTTTTATCCAGTTCTAATAAGATACACTGGTATCAAAAATTCACTCCAAGAAGGCTTTTTCCCATTTTGTAATTAACAGAATTCACACTTTGAAAAGGGAGATTTAGTTTTGGCTGAGACTAAAAACTTGCCAGTTTCTAGTTTCAAAATAAGAGTTGCTCACTGTGTTTTGTAACCTTCATACACTGGGATTAAAACAGATGAAACAGATGAAAACAGGACACCTTTCCTTGAAGAATCTGAGAAAAGTCATCTCTACACAAAGAAGTAGTTTTCTACTCACCTTCCTTGCTTCCTGTTTCTGCAGGCACTGGAAGAGATGCATTGTGCTGGATAGCTGCATTGGCAACAGCGTTAGCTGTTACAGTGAAGGCAGTTTGGGGAACCAACCGGGGCATCAGTGGAACCAAGCGACGACCCTCAATGGACCATTCTGAAGAGCTATTAGGTCCAGACATACTAAACAAAAAAGAAAATGCTGCTACAAGGGTTCTCAATCACTAAAAATGAGTCAACTATTTTATCAAACAAATATAACTTTTTAAATTATAAAAAGTATCCTGAGTGAATAAGAGAGGCTTTATTTTAAGCAAGCAAAATCAAAATTATGAGTAATTATCAGAATTTAAGGGATTTCACACACACTTAAGTTCTTACACATTTTATTCTATAATATAAATCTTATAATTAACACAATTGAAACTATGAAAAATTTTCCTATGCTTTCTAAATATTGGCATTATTTTCATTAGTTTAAATCTGGCATTGCTAATGAAAACTAGTACATCTACTAACTTTTAGAACTTAATTTTGTAATTCAACTAAAAAGGTAAAAAGTACTCGTAATTTTTAAATTAGATTTTCTTTAATAATTGAAGACAGAATTCACTGAACCTTTGCAAAAATGATCTAACTGCCTGCATGGCCAGAGGTTCTAAGGCTTTTAAACAAGGGAAACTGAGGCAGTAAACGAGGGAGACTAAGTACAGAGGGAGAGAAGAGGGCTGTATATATATCACTGCATGTGTCACTGACGATGTGTTACATTAGTATCCTTCCTGTTAAAAAATAGACTAGGTCTGAGGTCACTGGAAGAAACCTGCGACTACTACTTTAATTTTACTTATATCACTTTTCATTCTAAGAAATATCTGAGGCCATGGAACTATCCTGCTAAGCAGACACTATTCTGTTTCTCTATCTAAACTTGAGTAAATTTTATCCCAGGAATCCAACTGAAATATGGTTGAAATATGAAAAGACAATTTTGTCACTTCTCTTGATTTGGCTCCACATTTACATCACTTCTCCTGATGATTAATGTCAAGGTTTAAAATTTACCCAGAATCAATTAATCAATCTCTTCACTAAATCAGAAATATTTCTGCAACTTTTCCAAACCAAAAATTCTATAACCCAATCTAGGGCTTAAGACTCGAAATGTCCACTGATTCTTCATATTTAGATAGCATACACAAAAGCCCTTGTTAGTGGATAATGGAATAATGATGATGGTGATGGTAGTTAACATCAACTAAACACTTTTTCTATGTCAGGCACTGTTTTAAACATTTTCTATGTGTTAACTCATAATTCTCTCAATAATCCTATGAAATTGGTAATATTATTATCTCCATTTTGTGGATGGAGAAACTGAGTCACTGAGAGGTTAAATAACTTCCCTAAGGTCACACAGCCACTAAATGTTTCCTTCAACAAGCATACATCATACTACCGACATGTGCCACACCAGAAGTAGAAAGTATAAAACTTTTCAAAAGGGTTTTATGTCTAACATTTGCCTTTGATTTATACTAATTGGGCACCGTTGTCTAATTACTACCAACTTTCACTGAATGGAACAAATAAATTACTTTACAACTTGAGAAGGATTTACATTCAGTTCAGAAAGGAATTTCTAGGAGCTGATGAATCTAGTTGGGTTACTATGAGAAATGTACAAACTGTTTAACCAGTCCTACCTAAAACAAGGGAAAGAAGAGTTCCTAAAACCCCAATTAACTCCATAAATTTGTTATCACATCATCTCCAATTTGACACTAGTTCTGAAACAGAGAATGGTATAAACAAGAAAAGAGAAACAGAAGTGGGCTATGGCTAACTGTCAAAGGAAAAAATTCTAAAAGCTATTTAGTGTCTTCTTGGCTTATTCCTATTTTGCTATCATTTTATTAGAACATCACCAGTAAATTTGCTAGGTGATTGTTTACACACAAATAAAGTGATGTCTACACTTACCTGGTGCATTGTTTAAATGGTGGCAGAAATTATGGAAGATCAGTAATTTGAAACACATGAATATTTGCTATTGAAAAGACAGAATTTGCAGTGCAAAAGATACAACTGCAACTTTTAAAAAGATCTGTAAATCTTCCAAATTTCTACTCATGCAAACATGCTCAAACTTTAAGTGAGTGAAAAATTATGTTAGAATTAGATCAAAAATTCCTATTTGCTTAGTAATGAGGATGTAAATATGCATTAGTTGCACAAATCATCTAAACTGAATTTTACAGATTTTTGTAAACGTCTTATTGCAGGGCTTCCCTGGAGTACCTAAATTTCAATGGAAGGATCGCTTCTCTATTTAGATTAAGGATGGCAAGGGAGGGTAGAAACCTTGCTCCAGCCCCTTTCCTGAGAAATCTAACATGATACTAACGAAACTGCCTTGGCCCTCACATCCTTTGGTATGCAGGGCACCGGCAAAAAAAAAAAAAATCTTTACCCTCACATAGAAACTCACACAGTATCCTATAAACGTCTGGCTTATGGGGAAGGAGTTTAAGAGAACAGTAGTTAAAGACAGATAGCCACTTTCTTTGAAAACTAGAGACAATGCTGGCAAGAGTGGCACAATTAAAAACTCTGAAGCCCCTTGACATTCCAGGCTTTAATATTATGATATTCTGACATGTTTCAAAACTGAATTCGAGTATCAAACTTAATGAATGGTCTGGTGTCAAATAATAAACACGTGTTATGCTTCGGGCCATAAGCAAGGCTTTTTTCTTTGATCCCGGACACCCTGCTCCTTTTGTTTCCACCTCCTTTGTGCTCAATCTTCTCGGCTTTCTCTTCACCTTTCAACCACATTCCTTCAGGCCTAAGCTGCGAATTTTGAGTGGGGGAGGGAAGGGAGAGGAGAAAGGGAATGCAGTCAGTTCAGATGCATTCCTCCTCAGCTCCAGTTGCTTTTTTCAGGCTCAGAGTATGAAGCCATCCTATAGACAGTCTTTGGATTTAGGTTCTGTTGCTACTTCTGAGGGAAACAGGGCAGAGGAAATGTAGAGAATAAGGGATCTACGCCTTCCTCACCATGCCACACTCACCGACCCCTGGGCTCAACAAGTAAAATACGACACCTAGTCAAACTAAAACCGCAGCATAAAATATTAAAACAGGAGTAGAGAAAGACCTAAGAAGCTTTTAAAATTATACGCTGAAGTAAACTCTTCAGAAAATTAAACTCAAGTATTAAAGAAATCAGAAAGGAGAGAAAAAAGGAAACACAGGCAGATAGAAGCCAACTCTCAATTATCCATGCTAACAGAGAGAGGAGGGAAAGGGAGAGGTCAAACAGATTAAAGAAATCCACATATTATCCAAAAATACTTTGGCAAATACTTGTAAATTCTTCCACCAAGCCATTTCCAGGACAACTAACAAGCAGTAAAATGACTAATTAAAATTTTCACCTCCTCTCCCTTCCCACCCTCTGACTAGAGGTACTCCCAAGCAGCAAAAAGGCTAAAGGGTGGGCAATATTAGGAGGGGGAGGAGGGGAAGAGAAGGAAAAGCAGAGGGCACGGTTAATTCATAAATGGGAATACGTGCCCCTGAATAATTGAGAGCTTCAATTTTGAAATAATACAAGAAAAAGCCTGAAATAATAATAACCTATTTGCATACCTGTAACTTGGTCTTTCACCCAAATATAAGGATAAATTCATTCTTTAAAGGGGAAAAAAGGAAAAGGAGACTAAATAAATGTTATCCTTTAAGTATGAAACTGATGCATCAACTTACAACTAATTGACCCACAATATTTTTCCAATGCTTTTAAGGTACTAACTTCGTCTCTAAGTGCCTCTGAATGTAAGCTATTGTTTACTACTTCATTATCTAGCACATAAGCTTCCTATTACCTTCTCAAATTAGAATCTAGGTTGTTATTATTTTTAGAGCATCCCAATTCAAAAGTTTAGAGCAAATTAAAGAAGGAACACATTAATATTTGAATGTTTCAACCACGTTGGCCTGACAACTATTTAAGGTCTCTAGTGGAAAAATTCCAAACTTCTACAGTGCATACATGCCTACCACTGAAAAATCTCAAAATCCAGATACCTAAACTTTCAAACTACACAGTTAAAAAGGTAGCACCCCATTTTATAAGTTAAGTAAAATGAGGAATAGCAAAGCACAACATGAAGCTAGCTAATGGATCTACAAGGTCAATTCAAATACTGCCAGTTGGTTTAAACACACTATTTATCACATTATGGAAATGCACTGAATTTTTTCCTTTAGTTTTATTTCACATTAAAACATAAAAATAAAAAATAAATGAGCAATACTGTAATATATCTTATTTTTAATGAAATGCTCCTGTCATCTTGCATTAACATTTAAGGATAATTTCTGTGCCTTTCTATTCTTTAGGAGGCACTATCTCCATTCGTATTCTACTAATGTTTAATCCCTGCCCTTAGTCCTCCACCACCCTCCACCCCATCTGTCACACAGTTATAATGATCTGAAAACAATTTGATAAGAACCCTTTATAATTTTATTTTGTTGGCTTTTTTAAAGTAAATTAAGATATATTCATATTTCTTAAAAGCAGAATATATATTCTCACAATCTTTTTTCTGAATCTCAAAATACATGAAATATTAGTCAGGTAGAAAGAAAATTTATAATGCCTATTTATAAAGCAATATATATACCACACACCATTACAAAGAACCTCTAAGGGGTGTCAAATTAGGGGAGCATACCACTTTATTACTGAACTTTGCTTTAAGTAAGTGAATCATCTGCTAAACTGTGGTGGCCTTTTATGCAGAGATCACATTGTAACTGGATTTGACCTGAGTACTTAAAGCTTGCCTAACCAAATGCAAAAACATAACCAACTGAATAAACAGTTAATACCTCTATGGTCAGGATCCCTGAGTACAGAAATATTACTATTAAGATAAAAGACTCAGGAATCTGCTATACAATAGGAAGACTGTTTCAAAACTATGTTATACTACGTCATAAAAAAATCAGGGGTTGTATGACTAATGGCTTACTTATGTGCAATTGTTGTTAACCGTTCATCGTTTACTGCTCTCCGAACTTCAGCACGGTGGCGCTCTGTTGAGATGCTATGAAAAAAAATAGCCATTATAGAACTCTGCCAAGCAGGCAGCTCTTTTCTATACTTTTATTCATGTTTAAGTCAACATTTTGCTTGGGGAAGAGGGGGGATTGATTTGTGGAAAGGTATAGACGGGGCCTAAAATATATCTTCAGATGCTTTTATTAAAATCGTAGAAAAGGGTTCATAGTGATTCTGTGTAACTGCAGAGAAAATTAGTTGCAAATTAAAAATCACAGGAAGACAAATAGCTTGATATCAAGTCATTACTTCCAAAACTCAGAAATGTCAGACCGTGTTCAAAGATTAGCAGAGGTTCCTGTTATCTAAATGTGCAAACAGCCACTGAATGACCGCTAATTGTGGTTACTAAGAGGATTTTGGCACTTAGAAGAAAGTCTTCTGAAGTCTTTTTTTTTTCTAAAAAAATAAAAAATGAAAAATAAAGTCCTTTCTAAAGCTTAAGAGTCTATAACTTTATGTTCAGTGAATTTAATAAAGAAACAAAAGTGGCAAGATAATCTGTTTATTGTGGCTATATGCTATGAAATTTGACACCAGGACCTTACTCCCTTATCACTCAACATTTCAGCTTTATGTCTTCTACATTACACTATATTACCATTACAGTAAAAATGTGCTTATATTGATCCTGAGTAAATACATATAAAGTTAATACTAAACAAGTGAAAAAAGGCTACACTCATTCCATTCGTAAATATTCAATAAAATGAGTAACCACTCTTCAAACTGTAATCTTTACTGCTTAAGCTAAATCTATATCATGGACTAAAATAGGTAAGGGGCTGGAAAGTGGATTTATGAGGAAATAGAAACAACAAACAAAAAATATGTAAGTTGTTAAGTATGAAGACAATAAGATTAAGGATTTGACTTAATAATATCCCTGTATTAATGTCAACCAAATACAGGAAAAGACTCTTCCTTATTTTCATTAAAAAAAAAAAAAAAGAATAGGACAAAATGGTTTTAAATGTAGAAAGGAAACTTCAGTTAAAACAGAATATTTTCTGAGAAAGCTCAAGATGTCAGAATGGATCAAGACAAGGTATCAAAGAATTCCATTCGGTAGAATTTTTAATGGATTCAAGGCCACTCTAGCGGGACACTGAGGGGATAAACTATCCACAAGGCTATGACTATATAAAAACCACCCATTTCTATAAATTAAAACAACTTCCTAGTATCTCCTTCTTCCCTCCCAACAAATGCCACGGACCACTCCAAGTCTTCAGATCTTGTTGCTACCAACTCTTCTTTCCTTCACCCATGTAAAAAATACCTCCCCTTCCCAGGTGACCCAAACCTAAAATAACCCACCTTAAACCCTTTCTGATTACAGAATAAATGATAAATTACATAACTTTCTGTAACAAAGCACACAACTGGGATGAGATATCTAAGCACCAACAACCTGAACACCTCTGGCTTCAACTTGAGAATGAAAAGTATTAAAACTCCTCAAAATGAAATTTCTAGAGTCATATCTCACAAACTTTTATAATTTACCTAAGAACTTTTGAGAGTTCTCCGAGAAGATCTTTCTTTTCCTTGGTGAGATCCCCCTGTGCCCGAAGTGCACTGATAACTCCAGCATATGCCTCCAATTCTAGAAGAAGAAAATTATTTTATCAAGATAGGCCTTCAATATTTTAATACTGTGGCTATATATACTGAAACTTCAGGGCAAAAAACCTAGAAATCAATAAAAAAAGTCAATACAGAAAATTTTAGAAGTTCCTCTCAAAAATTTTATCTAAGAGCATTGATTAAAATGTAGCTTTTATAATTGTATATCTTTTTTTTATTGCCTCACAGAAGTCATGTGTACAAAGTGTTTAGGCAGAAAAATCTAATGGTAAATATTGTATCTCACACCTTATCAATGAAGAACATTTAACTCAGATGCTACCAACAATTGGGAACAGACTCCAAGTGATACAAGGCTGATAAGAGAAATTTTTAGCTTTACTGACAGGTACCCACCATGACCAATCCTTGAAATAATTCCTTAGCCCTGCCTTGAATTCAACCTACATTCTCCTGGGGTTGAGAATACCATGAGTACTGCACAATAGAAAAACTCCTAGAACAAGAGTCAAATGACCAGATTCTGGCTCCAACACTCCCACTTACTAGTTGTGTAACCTTGGACAAGTTCCTTCTCACCCTGAACCTCAATATCTTTATCTAGAAGAGACATCAAAGGTATCTTCCAGATTTAAGATCCTCTGCATCTACCATCGCAATGACTGAGACTGGTTAGGAAACATGAGTTGCTCTTATAGCAACCAGGATATAATATACTGAACCCTAAGGCCAGACAGTTTCATTTCACTATCTTTCCACAGCAACAACCATTATGAAATGAAACTGTCAGTCTCCAATACTGGTTAAAATATAAAAGCAAAAAGTCCTCACCCAGCTCCCAATGAACCATGCCTGCCTCCCAGCGCACTCCTTGGGAACTGTGCTACTTTTGTATAGTCCCTTCCCACACTGACTCTGGGCTTGGCATGTGACTTGCTTTGGCCAGTGGAACATGAGCATACATGATACAAACAGAAGCTCACTACCATTTGCCTGCAGGGCCTTGCTCTCTTGGAACCTTAAGATAACCAAGCTGTGAAGAAGCCCAGGATGAAAGGCCACATGGAGAGAGGCCCAGCCCTATCTGAGCTAAGCCCAGTAAACCAACTAAGCTACCAGCTGAATACAGCCACATGAGAGAGCTCAGGCAAAACCAGCAACCACAGAATCAAAAAAATAAATAAAATAGTTGTTTTAAGCCATTAACACTATGAGACAGGCATATCTAAACAAAACAGAATGATGGGAAGTGAGTGTCCAAACTACAGTTATCTTCTTAGTCAATTCAAGTTGCTACTAGTATTTGGTATATCCCAAGGCTGACACACAAAGAATGAAGGTATACATATCCGCATCCTAGGTACTACACCAATAATAAACTAGTAGCCTTGTTTAGTTCTCGTTATTCACTGTTCTGAGAGTTAAAAAAAAAAAAGTGAGCTGACTATATTAAACAGAAATATCTGATCCATGGGGCGCCTGGGTGGCTCAGTCAGTTGGGCGTCTGCCTTAGGCTCAGGTTATGATCCCAGAGTCCTGGGATCAAGGCCCCATATCACATCCCTGCATCGCACAGGGCTCCCTGCTCAATAGGGAGTCTTGCTTCTCCCTTTCCCTCTGCTCCTCCTCCCTGCTCGCTAGAAAGAAATGCCTGACCCAAATGAATTATCCCATGTGTAAACATCTTGCATATTCAATCTATGCTGAATACTATGTAGATGTTTCATGCGGTCTCTCTGGAAGGTCAAAGCTTTCCTGCTCTGAATAGTAAAGGAAATACTTAGTACCACGAAACATATATTTCAGCTTTTATCAGGCCCCAAAGTAGAGTTCAGAAAGGCACTGGGGATAACCAACTAAGAAATCACTATACTAAAAGTTTATGCCTCATTTATGGAATATTTTATTCAATAGATCAGTATTGACTCCTATTATATATACCAGATAGTATGTTAAATCCTGCCTTCAAGGAGTTTACTCTAGAATAAAGCTACAGTGAAACAAGTCATCAGACAATGATGATACAGTTTATAATACAGTGGTAAAAGCAAAAAGAAGAAACACATCATCCAGTCTAGAAGCATAAGCTTTAATCAGAAAGAGAAGTGTGCTCTAAGCAAGCAGGAGGAAAAAAAACACAAATAAGCGAAAGGAATACAGTAAGAGAGCAAATAATGTCTCATATAGACATCAAACTTCCAGTAACAGTCAGTGACTATTTTCGGAGTTTTACTTTAGGGAAAGTAAAAATATGTATTTGGATAGTCACTAACTCAAACCAAACTTAACTGCACATTACTACTACTACTACTACAAGGTACCATGGAGAATATTTATATGAACCAAACAAAGTCCCTATCTTCAAGGTAATTAAAATCCAAGAAGAGACACACATACAGGAATAAAGAAGGATAAAAATGGAAAAGTAGTTTGGGGCCAGACTAAGCCTCTAATTTCAGGCTAAGAAGTTCTTATTTGATAGAGGACTCAGTAGTTGATTGAATGTGGAAGGAACAGCAGAAGGAAAGGAACCAGATTTTGTAGTTTGCAAGATATTTAGGAGAAGGGCAATACCATAAAAAGAAATGGGAGAGGTCTGAGAGAGGAAATGGTATGAGGAAAAAGAAGTTCACTTTTGGCCTATGTAATTTATGGTGATCAAGATACTACCACAAAAAGATTGAAATTAACCAAAGAAATGCGGCAAAGGTTGTTTTTGACATTTCAAGTCTCATTCCAAGTCTAACTAAAAAGTCATGGACAAAAGTTAGAGGTGGTAACCTCACACAAAACTGGGACTCAGACCACAGTTATCATAGTCACACAATCTGAGGCACTTCCTCCATTCTCCAGAAATTCACTCATAGTAAAGAACCTTTACTGGCTTCCCAACCTCCTTGACATTTGATTTCCATTTTGATGGGTATCCTCAGATCCTGACAAATATCAAACTTAGTTGAACTTCTGGTATTTTTGGTGCCGTTCTATTGTAGTGTTCACTCTAATGACACATAAATATAATAAGAGATACATGCAAACACCACAGAACACAAAAAGATTTCCCAAACCACTCTATAAAGTCCTCAACATTCCATTTAAACAAATCAGCCATTCAATTATATTATAGTCTGTGAAGCCCCATGTTGGAATGGTTTTTAAAAAAATAAGGCAGGGGAAAGGCAGGATAGAGGGAGGGAAGCATTTCTCTATCACTGGTATGTTCAGTATATTATTAAAAAAATTCTTGACCCGAGTTTTTATATTTAAGTAAAATTTTAAATGTTTAGCATTTTATGTTAAACGATTTATAACTATTTTTAAAAGAACAAAGCTAATTCTTAAAATATTTTAAGTTAATTCTTAAATACCGTACTTTCTCTAAACTTTGGACCTAGAGCTAAGGGTTTGAATGCAATTCAAAAGTTTCATTGTTATGATAATGAGCCAACGGGTGGGGAGGAAGTCTTTCTGCAAATCACTATCAAGGCTCACCTCCCAAAGTGAAGGGTCATTGAAGATGACATTACCCTGTAGGAAGGCTGTTTCCTTTTGTATAGAAACGGCTCTCTAGCAACATTACCCACACAGCTCTGGCTAAAGCTAAGGATAAATTTAGACTTAAAGGTTACCATTTTTATATTTAAACATAATCTCTTGACTCAAGGCCCCAAAAGCCCAGAAACTCTAATCCAATCTACCGTAGTTGGGATCTGTTCATCTGCAATTATTCTAGCTATGGAGTAAACATCAGTACTACTTTATAAATGGTAGCTAGCAAGCTACAGCAATTGGCATGCAAGTGTGTAGAAAATCATCCTCGAATTAGTACTAAAAGTTTGGATGTAAGGTTAAAGGAAAAAAATGATAATGGATGACTGCCCAAAAAAGCTCTCTATGCTAAAATACAATGCTAAGAAATAGTTTAAAATCAGAGAAATCCTCCCAGTGGCCTGACGGGAAATAAAAAGGGTAAATGTTACTAACAGACAGGACCAGGGCAGCTATGATTCAGATTTCCACAAAAGAATTCCCAACAAAGATTTCCTTTGAAGATTCACCTGCAAATAAATATGTCTGAAAGCAACTGCTCTAAAACAGTATACCCTCAGATGTCAAGCACCGTGGTAGGACCCTTTTATATACAATTAATCCACATAACAAACTTATGAGGCAGATATTATTATGCTTTTTTACAAAAGTGTCAACAGATTTAAGGAGATTAAATAAACTGTCCTTGATCTTGTGGGTCATTAGTGACAAGACCAAGACCCCAGGTCCCTCTGAATTCAAGGCCCACACTTTCCCCTTCAAAATCATAAACAAATAATTCATATCCACTCCCAAAACATTTAATGTTCTTTTTCAAATTATTTTTTCATTTACTGAGCACCCACTATGTGCTAGCTTGGGATTATAGTGGTAAAGAAGACAACAAGGTCGTTCTTGGACCTTTTGGTCTAAAGCAGTAGTTCTCAACCAAGGATCCTCATTTGAACCACAGAATATAAAAAATGAGTTGAGTAACTCTCAATTTTCCCAAGAATGGTACAAAACCATTACCATTCGAAATGCATAAAAAGAAGTTAGTTCATTACATACAATGGATTAGGTTTAGGATTAGTGCTTAATTCTCTCCCTAAAATGCTAGTTGAGAAAGGCTGCTCTAAAGGAAAAGAAGCTCAAAATAATGAATTATACACATAAAGCGTGTTTTATTACTGATAGTAACCGTAATTTAGGAAAGTCAGCATAGTTAACATTTACTTAGAATTCAGAAACAGTTTATAATTCACACATACATTCATGAAGGTTAAAAGTATCCTAAAGTAAGACTGGAATCATATTCCCTGGGTTACAATCCTGACTCCATGACTTACTATGAGCATCACCTTGGGTTCTAAGCTTCAGTTTTGTCATCTGTAATATGGAAACACACACACAAAAATACCTACCTTTCCCATTTGAATGAGGATTAAATAAGATAGCGAATGTAAATAACTCAGAATAACCCAATACCCTTCAAGACCTCTCAGCTACTATTTTTATTATTATGGTCCATAATAATCCTACTAAGTACAAAGCACTATGCTAGGCACTGGGGAAATAACAATGAGTAAGATGAAAAGTACACCTCTAAAGAATTTCTAATGCAACATGAGATATCACATCCAGGAAAACAGTCATGACAAAAACAGAAAGGGAAAAGTATCATAGAAAGGCATAAACATCAAAAATGAAAATCATACCCAATTTTCTAAGAATCCTTTTGCATTCATCCCTGCTGAGATCCAAAAGGGTTGGCCACACAACAGGCATTGCTGCTTCTTTTTGGTAGCCCCAAAGAGCTTGTCTTCCCTACCAAAACAAATGAAACAAAAATCAAATTACCAAAGTACATTCAAAGGCCACTTACCTGGAAATCCACCCACTAAAAAGTAAAACCAGTAAGAACATCTCACAATCCTATTTCACCACCACACTTTTCAACTTCTGATAAATGAAGAACTAAATATTCCGCAGCTCATTATTCCAGCACAGGATAGTGGAGAGAGCACAGGTTTTAGAGTCAGACACCTCTAGTTTCTAGTTCCAGCTTTCAATTCACTGTCTGGGTGATCCTGGGTAAAGTGGACTATCTGAGCAAAAGTTTTCTACATCTGTAAAACAGAGGTACTATCATCCAATTTGTCGTAAGGATTAATGAACAGTATGTGAAGTTCTTATGATAGTGCCTGGCATGTTTAATAAATAGGTGCCATTACCTGTGTAACCTTACCCAAGTTACCTGATTTGTGTCGGCTTTCTCACTTGTGAGTTACAAGAGATAGAATATATAAACCTCCTAGCACGTTACCTGGGCTAATGGAACTTAACAAAAAACTTTCTTCTCAAGTCTTAACAATGAACGATGAATTTACACCCTGTAGTCATTAAACAATCATTTACCAAAAGTTTAGATGTCAGGAACTTACTTCATACTGGGAATTGCCTGGTCTAGAGGATAAAAAGACAACAGCGCTGGGCACTTGCACAATACCTGCTTAGCACACAGCAGATCGACTGTAAACATTTGTTAAGTAGATGAATGAAGAGAGAGAAGAGCAGGTAAAATGCATGAGTGAGTGAGTGAGTGAATGAATGAATGAGCGAGCTCAATGTCTAGTCGAGAAGTCAGGAACCGAACCGTAATAACTGCTATGTCTCGTTCCAGGCACTGGGGCTGCTAACTCCAACTCTGCGCCCGGAGTTGATCCCCCCTCCTCCGACTTCCCATAGTCCTCTCAGCTACGAACCAACACAGAGCAAGAAGAACTGGACTGCGCGCCCCAGCCGGCAGAATGACATAAAGAAAAGGGGTGGGGAGGAGGAAGAAGGGGCAGAGCCAAAGGAATCCGCTCCCTCCACAAGCCAGTCCCCGCCCCCCGACAGGATCTTGGAGGCGGCCGGCGACCGCCCGAATCAAGCACCACGTCACGGCATCCCGACGCGTCCCCGCCAGCGCACCCCACCGCGGGGCCGCAGCGCCCTGGAAATCTGGGCAGCAGTTGCGGGAGCCCGCTCCGGAGCCGGGATCTCGTGTAATCCTTCCCCCACTCAAGTGTCAAGGAGGCAAGCCCGCCCCGCCCCCTCCCCAAACACGCACTCTCTCGCAGCACCACAACAAGAGCAGCCCGCCCACCCTCCTCACCGGTGCCGCTCAGCGCCAACGCCAATGTCAAGCCCACTACCCAAGCCCTTCAAGACCAGTAGCCGGTGTCAGGGGCCCCGGCCAGCATCAGCGCCTCGCTCCCTCCTCAGCGGAGAAGACAACGGAGAGAGAGTAGGCGCGCGGACAGCCAGGCAGACGACCGAGACTCACCGGAAGGCTCCCAGAGCTGGACCCCCAGGATCCCAGCACCAGGCCTGCCAAAGTCCTCCTCAGCCCATCTCGGGGAGCCCCCACGATCCCGTTAGGAGACAACGGAGGATGGGGCTGGGCGCCCCAAGCCGGGGACCAAATGGTTGGCCCGGCGCTCCTCCAGTCTGGCTAACCTGCCAGCTCTTCCCAGCACCCTGTCTGAGAGTCACCCACCTGCCCGGCCTTTCGGGGCTCATCTAAAAGGCTCCTCCGCCAAGACTAGGGAACACCAGGAATTGGGTTTGTTTGCGGTGCCTCAGAAGGGGCAAGATGGCGACAGGCATCAGGGCGCAGGCGCACCCGCGCGCTGCCAATCGGGAGGTGTAGTTCGCCTTTCCCGCCTTTCGGAGAACCGACTCCAGAAGGCCTCCATTCTCCCAGTCCCTCTTTTTCTCCGCGTTTTGAAAGGAAAGAGGAGACATCGCGGGAGGTGCTGGGAGTTGTGGTCCGGACCCAAGCTCCCTTCTCTTTCGCTCTCGGTGTGCTGTCGCAGGCGCAAGGAAGGCCGGGATTGTAGTTTCCTTGGCTTCTCCTCCATACCCTCCTCTCTGGCTTCGCGCGCCTCTCCTCCGGCTGCCGTCTCCCAACCTATCGGCTGCGCTCTCTGCTACGTGTGGCGTCACACGTAGAGGCCAAAATGGCGTCGGTACCCGGACCTGAGGCTTTGCCGCGACCTTTACTCTAGGCGAGGTTAGGGACGATAGGAAAGCCGCTTTGTCCCTGAAGCGCCGTTGAGGATTAGGATCGGATTCCTCAGAGTCATGGGAGCAATTATCAGCGGCCTCCAGCCCCCACCAGGCGCAACTCAAGGAGAGAATCCACGCTACAAGAACCGACGTAGCGGACGTCGCAATTGCCCGAACCAAATCTGGGGGTTGCGGAGTTGCCCGTGGAGAAGGGGAACCTGAGCGTTCTCCGCTCCGGGTTTCTCCACGTGTGAAGTGGGAATGATAGTGATATCTCGTGCTTTAGCTGTCAAAGGGAAGAAGGAGAAGGTATTTATTAGAGGCCCTACGACGTGGTAGGTTCATCCTTCAGCCTTTGTTCTTATTTAATCACAGAACAATTGTGTGAAGAAGGTATTGTTGCCCTTATTTTACATATGAGAAAAGGGGCCCAGTGTGTAGTTACTCGCGGCCATAAAATCGAAGCCAGTGCTTGGTATTGTGGAAGATTCAATCCAAGTTTTGTGATTGTCCTTCTTCTTAAGTTGTGTCCTTTTGGAAATGTAGGATCTGGTAAAAATGCCAAGTCAGAGGGGGCTCTTAATATGCTTTCTGATATTAACAAAGTTTTCATGTAAAATGGGTTAACCTCACCCTATGGGGATGTTGTGATACACAACGTAGAAAAAAGTTACTTGTAAATTGTGGACCACTGTGCAAAAGTGTGAGACTGGTCATATTCTTGAATGGAGCTATAGATAAAAAGAAAATAAATAACAGCATTTAAGTTTCTTACTACTATTTACCCTTGAGCTAAAAAAATATTCTGTGAGGTCCCAGAAAATTGTTTTTGTTGAAACCCAAGCCTGCTCCTCCAGAAAGTCATGAAGTGGGTCAGATAATACCCAGGCCCTTCTCTCCCTCCTTGATCTTACAATGCATTCTCTTCCATGTATTTCCCACCTGTTTTCAGGTCAATTACTTAACTTTTGGAAAGATGCGAAAAGAAACTTTAATAGATTTTGTAGTTTAACATACATTCTTTGAGCCTCACGGCATCTCAGTGAGGTAGGTATAATTTAGATCCTCTCCCCACCCCCACAAACACTTCTGAATGAGGAAAACGCGGAAGTTGAAGAACTCACCCAGTTTCACAAAGCTAGGAATTGAAGGGAGCTGGACTTTATAACCCTAGGTTTTCTGACTACCAAGTGTCTTCCTCTACAACAAATGTCAAGGTGACAGTAATGGAGTAGAAATGGAAAGACAAGCTGCTTATAAGACTGACTCTGACCATAATAAGTAGCATATAAGTCAAGAATTATAGCTTACTCTTGTGCTTACCTGGTGCCAAGTATTTTTATAAGCATCTCACGTATAATTCATTTAGACCTTAAAATTTAATGAGGTAGAAACTATTATGTCTAATTACAAATGAGAAAACCGAGGCACAGGAAGGAGGTTAAATAGCTTGCCTAGAGTCATATATTATAAGTAAATGGTAAAGCCAGGACTTAAACCCAAGCAGCTTGACTCCAGTGTCCGCTCTAGACCAGTGGTTCTCAAACTTTTCATGTTCAGTAGGAATCACCTGAGGATCTTGTTAAAAATGCAAATTTTGACTGAGTTATGTCTGGGTAGGGCCTAAGATTGTATATTTCTTTTTTTTTTTTTAAAGATTTTATTTATTTATTTGAGAGAGAATGAGGGATAGAGAGCACGAGAGGGGGGAGGGTCAAAGGGAGAAGCCGACTCCCCGCCGAGCAGGGAGCCCGATGTGGGACTCGATCCCGGGACTCCGGGATCATGACCTGAGCCGAAGGCAGTCGCTTAACCAACTGAGCCACCCAGGCGCCCCAAGATTGTATATTTCTAACAAGCTCTCAATCTACCACATACCTTCTCTTTCCTCCTAACTATATATATTTGTATTTGTGGCCAGAATCTGCCTTCTCCATTCTGCCTCTGATTGCTCCATGTTCCCAAATATTCCCAATATTAAAATCTCTTCCTTAAGCGTCAGAGTCAAACTTTACCCTCAAGAAACTTATCCTGCCCCTGACTTTCCCTCTAGGGTAAACCGGCATTCCTGCCTCTGCTTCTATACATCTTATTACAGAATTCAGAACACTTAACTTACGGTCATTTGTTCAAAAATCTTCCTGACTAGACAGTGAGCTCTTCAAGGAGAGGTCTTTTACTCCAGTGTCTAGCACATAAAAATAATAGCTAGTACTTATCTAGGGCTCTCTCTGTTCCAGATGCTGCTTTATACATTAACGTGTTTAATCTCCACAATAGCCTTATGAGATATACTATTCCCATTTTATGAATGAAGAAACTGAGGCACAGAGAGATTAAGTAGTTTATCTCAGGTAACAAGCTAGTAAGTAGCAGAGCCATGATTTCAAGTTAAGGCACTTTAAGTCCAAGAAATTTGTGATAAATGAGAGCCGTCTTCCACTTCCAAAAAAGAAAAGCCAAGACTTACTGTCCTACTAGACATGAGTATAACTACTTCTAGTCTGGGAAAATGTATTGGAGTACAATATTTGTCTCAAACTTTATTCCTCTATTGACCAACCAGGTTAAGCAGTTTTCTTTAAAGAGACTTCTTCAAGAGGCCTACCACACACTATTCTAATTTTGTAGTGCTATATTGGAGAAGGTGGATTTCACAGTTAGGAAAATATCTGTTAAGTTCCCTGTAATACTGTACAGGTAGGCAAGTCAAAATGGATAAGACTTTAGAGATTCATTTTCAAAATGAAAAACCAGGTTCAAAGACAGCAAATGAATTAACCAGAGTCATACAGGAACTTCGTGGCAGGACTGGGACTGGAAACCAGCCCTTTTGACTTACAGGCTGCTTGTCTTTCCACTGTACCACACTGCCCTTTAGAGTCTTACCTTTGGAAAGATTTATTACCACAATGGTATAGCCAAGGTGTATACAAAAAATGAGAATAGCAAAACCAAAAAAATAAATTAGTAATAAATTATATTAGTAGAATATAAAATAGTAGATCAAGATACGTAGATTTGGGGGACAGAAAAGAAAAAGTAAATGGGAAATGGTAATTACATACCTGGGTTTCTTGGAAGATAAAAATGCTTTGAACAATCTAGAACAGCTTCAGAAACGAGGTGAAAGATCTGGACCCTGCCTTGTCAACTGCCTTAACTCCTCTCCCTTACTGCCCACTAAATTCTGTGGTCTCTACTTCATAAATAGCTGGCCCCATTGTTTCAGTGGGCTGATGATGAGGCCTCATCACCTGTGTGGAGTGGACCTTTTTCCCAACCCTCTTCCTCCAAAAGAACCTCTCTACACTCCTTGCCTAGTACATCTACCATACTGCCACTGCTGTCAGGGTGACCTTTCTAAAATTCAAAGCTCACCATATCAGTCACTTGTATAAAACTTTCCAGTGGTTTCTAGTTGCCAACAGAATAAAGTTCCAGCTTTTTTACAAGCAAACCCGTGTCAATGCAAAGAAATTTCCTTGCATATCTAACATTTTCATAGAGCACTGCCATCACTTCTTTTATTTTGCCTAAAATCTGATACTGTCCTAAAGTTAACTCCTTCTCTTAAAGCCCTTTCAAATGGAGTTCTCCTGTCCCCATCTTTAGTATCTTGAACCAGAAGTAAACGCTGGCATTCTCACCTTGTAACTACAACTTCCAGACCAGCTACCCCTGCTTTGAGGCTTTTACTGTCAAGCCATGCAAACTCTATCTTCATTCCATCTCTCTAGGGATGATGGGATCTTAGAAGCTTTTTAACAGCCTGCTATCATCAGTTTATGTTGCCCTGTTGTCCCCTCTGCCCTTGTCCTCACGAGAAAGATTAAAAAAAAAAAACAAAAAACAAACCTTCTCCCAGCACCGCCCTTCAACCACCCATTTCTTTGATCATATCCTGTACTTTGTTCTCTAGAACTGTTCCACCTCTGAAATCAGTAACCAAGGGATTCCACCTTCTAAACAAGACCTTCTTTTATTCCAGATTTTTTTTCTCCTTTACCCTCACCAAACCTGTTCTTAACTTCCGTGAAATCTGTAGTTTACAGTCTACCGGTTACAAGTTTGTTCTCCTCCTCCAGCTTTACTTTCTTCCCTTTCTAAACTGGGACCTGTGATCATTTATTTCAAACTCGGTCTCATTGGCACTTTCAAGTTCATTCAGCCATTCTGTCCTTCCACATAAACCCTAAAACAGCCCTCAACCTTGGATCAGTTCCTCCCCTACATCCCTTCCCGTGTTGATGTAGCTGTTAGTTAGTTAACTGTTGGTGCATAATAAATTATCCCAAACCTTGACTTAAAACAACAATAAGATTTTTTTTTTAAAGATTTTATTTATTTATTTGAGAGAGAGAGAATGAGAGAGAGCACGAGAGGGAAGAGGGTCTGAGGGAGAAGCAGACTCCCCGCTGAGCAGGGAGCCCGATGCGGGACTCGATCCCGGGACTCCAGGATCATGACCTGAGCCGAAGGCAGTCGCCTAACCAACTGAGCCATCCAGGCGCCCAAGATTTTTTTTTTTTTTTTTTAGCTTTTCAGTTTTCATTTCATACAGGTTTTGCAGTTTCTATGGGACTTAAGTTAGCTGAGTGATTCTGGCTTGGAATCTCTAAGTGGTTGCAGTCATGATGTCAGCTGGGGCAGCTGTCATCTGAAGACTGACTTGGGGGCTAAAGAAAGAATCACCTTCCCAGGTAGCTCCTTCATGTGGTTGGTACTTTAAAAAGGGAAGAGGTCTGTTTCTCTGTGGACCTCCCTATAAGGCTGCTTGAGCACCCTCACAGCATGGTGGCTGGCTCCCCCTAGAGCAAGTGAGGGGTTAGAGCAGTGTGGAAGCTATAATTTGCAATGTGCCTACCCATCTGTGTGTGGACAAAATCAGGTTTTAGGAATTTGTACAAAGCAGCAAATCTAGAACAACTTGATGGCAGTAAGTTGAAATAATATTAAGTAGCATTTATCGAAGTCCAGTTATAGAAAGAGCATTCATGTGCATTACTTCATTTAAACCTCAAAACATTCCCATGACATAGTAACCATTGTCCATTTCATAGCTGAGGAAACCAGGACCTAGAGAGAAAAGTAATTTGTGCAATGTCAGATATCACCGGAAGACTCTTCCCAAGAACACACAAGAATTCTGGTTATCTGTGGTTGCATATCAAACCATTGCTGTAGCTTAAACAATTTATTTCACTCACAAATCTTCATTTTGGTAGGGCTTAGTGGAGACAGTTCATCTCTCCTCCTCTGGTGTCCACTGAGGCAGCTTGGCACCTAAGATCTAGAATCATCTGAGGTCTCATTCATTCATATGACCAGCAATTGATGTTGCCTGGAATTTTTGTTGGGATTATCAGCAGAGACATCCATATGTAGCTTCTCCATGTGGCCTAGGCTTCCTTGCAAACATGTGGCAAAATTCCAAGGGGAAGTGACTGGAAAGAGACAAAACTATGGAAGTTTTTATGGTCAAACTATGGAAATCATGTCATTATTTGTGCCATACTCTTGATTGGAATAGTCAAGCCCACCCAGGTTCAAGGGGAAGGGAAGTAGATTTCATTTCCTAATGGAAGAGTGGTGGAGTTCTGAAAGAACACATGGGACCAGAAATACTTCTGTGGCCATTTTTGAAAAACATCATCTGCCATAGTCAACATATGTGCCTCATATGCAAGACATACTCATTCCTCCCCCCGCCCATCCCCAGCCCCCAAGTCTCTTCCCATTTTGACAGCAGGATTGGACTGTTAAGAGGCTAAGAGGTTGCAGTCATACTGTGAGATTCCATTTATATAAAGTTCAAAAGCAGCAAAAATAATTTTTGTGAAAGAAGCCTGAATAGTAAATAACTTCAGAGGAGCAACTACTTGGATGGAGCACATAGGAACCGTGGAACTATGAATGTTCTAGATCTTGATCTGGGTAGGGGTTATATGAATAGATATGCCTAGGTAAAAGCTTATCAAGCTGTACATGTAAGATTATATCCTTTATGTAGTTTATACTTAAATAAAAAGTAAAATCACTGTAATGGTGGATACATGTCATTAAGACATC